AGCTTCTGGAACAGGTAGGTTCTCCTATTCTAGCAGGCTGCTCTGAAGGGGTGTGTGGCGCAGCAGGAGGGGCATGCGCTGCTGCGACGCGTGCCTGAAGTGGACATTGTGATGGGGCCGCAGCATGCCAACAGACTGCATGAACTGCTGGAACAGGTGGGTTTTCCTGTCCTTGCAGGCTCCTCTGAAGGGGTGCGTGGCGCAGCAGGAGAGGCATGCGCTGCTGTGACAGTTGCCTGAGGTTGATATCGTGATGGGGCCGCAGCACGCCAATAGACTGCACGAGTTGCTTGAACAGGTGGGTGGAAACACGGGAATATGCGGTTGGACGGCCGCTGGGCGGCACAGGGATGAGGCTGGGCGGCACAGGGATGAGGCTGGGCAGCACAGGGATGAGGCTGGGCAGCAGGCATACAGGTTCGCAAACCTGTATGTTCACCTTGGCTTGATTGCAAACACATCTGCTTGTGTTCTTGTGCCCCCCCGCTTCAGGTGGATCTGGGGGCGCAGGTGGTTGCAACAGAGCCAATCCACATCGTGGAAGATATTGCCACGCCCAGGAGGTCAGTGGGAGCACCTGGGATGGGGTCACCTGGGGTGGGGTCACCTGGGGTGGGGTCACCTGGGGTGGGGTCACCTGGGGTTGGGTCACCTGGGGTGGGGGCCTGGCTTGAGATTTGGGATGCATTTGATCTGTATCCCTTTTTTGCTGTGTAACTATTCCCTTGCGTGTCTGTGCGTTGTTCATGTTGCTGCCCTTGGAGTGATTCGTTTCCATGCCTTGTTAAGCATTTTCTCCTCCTTCCTGCTTTCTGCTTCCTGCTTTGTGCTGCTGTGCTGTGGAGCTCACAGGGAGTCCAAGATAACAGCATGGGTCAACGTGATATATGGTGAGTTGTGCAGTGTTGATGTGTGACACAGTGAGCGTGAGTGCTGCTGCAGTGCGCACCTGTGATGCTGTGGCACGAAGCAATGTTTCTCTCAGCCTGCCACAGTTGCTGTGATGGCAGGCACACGGTTGCGGTGTGTGGTTGCAAAATGAGTAGGCAGACTGTGCTGTGCTGCGTCTGAGGTTCCCAACAGGTACACCAGTTCTCTCTGACTTACATTATATTCACACTTTCTCCCTCCCTCCTCCCCTCTCCCTCCCCTAGGGTGCAACGAGCGTTGCACGTACTGTGTGGTGCCGGGGGTGAGGGGCACGGAGCAGTCACGGGACCCAGAGGCCATCCGCCAGGAGATGCTGCGACTGGCAGCAGCGGGGTACAAGGAGGTCACGCTGCTGGGGCAGAACATTGACGCGTACGGGCGTGACCTGGGGGGGTCGGCTGAGGATGGGTCGGGCAGGAGGAGGTGGACTCTCACTGACTTGCTGCGATACGTGCATGATGTGGAGGGCATTGAGCGGATCCGATTCGCCACGTCGCATGTGAGTCGTCAGTTGTGTGCTGGCGCTTAGCTCACTGCCGTTGAGTCTGGGCATGGCATATGCATACTCAACCTATATGCAGAGCTGCCCAAAGACCTTACCATATCCATACCATTCACTGCTCCCTCCCCCTCCCCCTAACCCCCCGTCCCTTGTGCCCCCCACTCTATCCTCCCCCTCATCTCTGTGCCCACCAGCCACGTTACTTCACGGAACGTTTGATCGGGGCGTGTGCGGAGCTGCCGAAAGTTTGCAAGTTCTTCCATATTCCCTTCCAATCCGGGGACAACGACATTCTCAAGGTCAGTGGAATGGTTTCAATGTGGTGATGAGGGGTTGTGACGTGGTGATGGCGGGTGTGGCGGAGGCCTGACTCAATCATTTTCAGCTGTGACTTTTTCTGACACACCTGCCTGTCAATCTCAGATTAGTATCTTCAGACTCGTGGTTGTCCCCCTCCCCCCCTTCCCAGGCAATGGCACGGGGATACACAAGGGAGCGCTATCTGGACATCCTCGCCACCATCCGCCGTTACAAGCCACGGTGACTTGCGAGTCGACTCAAAAGACAATCCCGTGGTCCCCTCCCCCTTCCCCCCCATCACCAGGCCATGGCACGGGGCTACACGAGGGAGCGCTATCTGGACATCCTCGCCACCATCCGCCGTTACATGCCGCATGCTGCCATCAGCGCTGATGTCATCGTCGGCTTCCCTGGTGCGTCATCACACCATGCGCCTGCTGGTTCTGCTGGTTCCTTTCTCTCTGTCTTCGGTTGAAGTATCAGCTTGGTTTCTTCCCCCAACTTCACTACCCCGTTTGCTGCCATGTGTGCGTCTGCAGGGGAGACAGAGGAGCAATTCCAAAACACTCTGCGGGTCCTGGAAGGTGCGTTTCACCTCAGGTTCATGCAAGATACTATTTAGTTTCATGAAAGGTGCATTTGTTAGAGGCAGGTGTTGCGTGCAAAACACTTTGAGTCTTGCCTTTCACCCTTTTCCATGTCCTTTGTAGGATGCACATGTATGGGTGCAAGTCCTCTCTTTTCAACCACGCAATGATGTCCATCCTACCTCTATCATGTCCCTTCTCATTCCCTCCCTCCTCCATAGCTCAGTGCCTCCATCTCTCAATCCCCCACCACCCCTCCTCCATCCCTCCCCCCATCAGAGGTTCGTTTTGACCAGGTCAACACAGCAGCCTACTCGCCCCGCCCCAACACACCAGCAGCTGACTGGCCCAACCAGGTACCCATATCTCGCTCATCCTCCACCCAACCTCTTTCTCCTACCTGCCTCTCTCTTCCCTCGTTTATATCTCCTTCCCTTCTCCCGCTGCGCCGTGTGTCGAATACACTCATCATCACCTCTTCCCTGTGTGCATGGCGCCGTGTGTCAAATACACTCATCATCACCTCTTCCCTGTGTGCGTGCAGGTGGCAGAGCTGGTGAAGATAGACCGACTACAGCGCATCAATGAGTGAGTTTTGCACTTTTGCAAATCACATGAAATCACACATGCTACATATTCTTCCAGGTCATTTCGAACAGCCTTATGTCTGACTGTCCAGTTCTGGTAACCAATCTCTCCTCGTCATTTTCCCAATAAAATTTGGAAGTAAATGTGCTGTCCAACATCTTTCTGAATCTTTTTGCCCCTCTGCAACCTCTCTCTCCTCCTGCCTGGAGCGTAACCAGCGGCACTGGGGCATAATCACTCACATTCTCACCTCACCCCTTCTCCTCCCCCTTCCCTGTCTCCTCCCTTAAACCCCTTCTCCCCCTGGCAGGATGGTACTGCAGCACTGCCTGGAGCGCAACCAGCGGTACCTGGGGCGAATTGAGGCGGTGCTGGTGGAGGGAGTGAATGCGCGAGCAGGGCGAGAAGGAGAGGTGAGCGGGGCAGGGAGGGAGAAAGAGGCAAGAGGACGGACGGGATCATGGATGGGTGGGTGATCACATGAAGGGAGCTGTATTTGATGAAGGGAGGACATGAGATACTGGGCGCATAAGGAGAGGTGGGGAGAAGTTTTTTTATGCGCTCACGAGGATACGCTGCCTCATGTGTTTGTCTGGCATGTTCTGTGTGCAACTTGTCTATCATATGTCCACCGCATGGCATGGCATGGCATGGCATGGTGTCGAATGGCAGGTCATGGGGCGCACAGACACCAACCGCCTCACTTTCTTCAAGGGCAGCCCGGACCTCATTGGGCAGATAGTGCCGGTCAGAATCACAGATGTTCGGGCAGTCAGCCTCACTGGCGAGCTGGTCTCTGCTGCTGAAGCAGCTGCTGCTTCTGATGCTATTGCTGTTGCTTGAAATGGTGCTGTGCAATTGTGATGGTGCTGTTTCAAGGGGAGGGGTGGCATGTAAATGCTGGCATGGAACTCGCGTATAGGCTCACGCTGCTGGCTGCAGTGTTGGTGCTGTTAGATTAGATGCATGGTTGTTGCATGAGCAAGCTGTTGTAAGTGGTTGACAGAAATTATTATCACTGGTGCTCTGCCTTGAAGGAATTTAATAAGCTGCCTATGCATCCATCAGTGGGGCTTCATTATTGTGAGCCAGGCTCTTGCTTCATGACATGACACTGCCTTGCCTCCATGCGAGAAAATTTCCATCCTGGGTCCCATCCCAGCAGGGCTCAGGTTATCAGTGTAATTTACCCTTCTACACTGATTACAAGGGTGAAATTTTGGGTCTACACTGATGTGCTGGGGTAATTTTTTGATGAGTTAGTGTTACACTGATCAGTAAGTGTATCGATGTAGGCCACACTGATGCCTTGGGGTAAAGTTTCCCTTAGCGAAGATTACACTGAAGAGCGTACACGGACCCCCACACCCACCCCCCCTTCCCCCTCCCCACCCTTCCCCACAAACAATTGGTCGAGGGGGAGGGGAGGCGAAATTCTCGCCAATTTCGTAAGTCCTCCCCTTCCCCCCCGCCCCTCACAAACAATCGATCGAGGGGGAAGGGGAGGCGAAATTGTCGCCAATTTCGTAAGTCCTCCTCCCCTTTCCCCCCGCCCCTCATAAACAAACAGTCGAGGTGGGAGGGGACCTGGGAGGCAGATAACTTTCTCGCCACCTGTCATACACACCTAATTTACACATGATGTATCGGTGCTTGGAAAAAAACCACACTGATGATCCAGGGTAAAATTTTCAAAACCTGATGTTACACTGCTCTATCAGTGTAATGGAAAAGTACACACTGCCCATAAGGGTTTTTGAAAAAGCTACACTGCCAATCGTGAGTAGGCCAAAACCAAACCTGAGCCCTGCATCCCAGCCAGTAAAATTGCTTCTTGCGTTGCTGAGACAGAGACCAACATTAGATACCAGGAACGGCATGCTGCAATAGCTTGCAAAAGCACACGCCTAAATAACATATGTGGATCACTTATTTACGTTGCATCTTTGTCTGTCAATCCTCCTCCTCACCACCAGCCGCAGCATTGCCACAAGTCTACACCACTGGCCAATGTGGTCCCACCCATCAGCCACTGGGTGGGTGGGGAGCATCTTCATGCTCCAGCGTGCACTGGTCTGCTCTGAGAGTAGCACTCACCCACGCACCAGCTCCCAGATTTTTGTCAGCTCTTTTGTCCTCTTCTTCCACTTCACAGCATCCCCGCCCCGCAGCTCCACGTCCAGCAAGTACAGTCCGAGCCGTGGTCCGCACCAGGGGAGGCCTCCAGCTACAGCTTCACCTGTCCCGAAGACAGTATTCCAGTAAATTACCAACTCTCCCCCCCTCTTCTGCTTCCTCCCGACCAGCATTTCCACAGCTGCACGGCCAGCAGGAACAATCCGACTCCTCAAGCCACGGATTGACTCATCTCAAAAACCAGCTCCGTTCCCCATAACTAACTCTTTTTCTCCTCTTCCTCTGCCTCCTCCTCACCAGCATCTCCACAGCTCCAAGGCCAACAAGAACAGTCTGACCCGTAGTCCGTACCAGGGGATGCCTCAAGCCACGGCGTGCAGTGCTCCTGGGTGTGGTACCCCGGTGGCAGGTGCTTGTGAAACGCCTCCACTGCCCCATCCACCCCGTCCTCTTTGGCTATCTTGCCCGCCAGCTCCTTAGCTGCTGCCACCACCTGCATGTGAGGGAAGAAATGCAAGAAAGGGACGTTCGGATCAGGGCATGCACCGGAATGGACCTCTTGGGAGCTTCCACTCCACTGCTCCATCCACCCCTCCTTGGCTATCTTGCCTGCTAGCTCCCTCGCTGCTGCCACCACCTGCAGCATGGGTGAAAAGAGAAATAAGAATGAGGGATAAAGCGGGTGTGTACACAGGGCAAAAAGCTTCCCCAGCAGCAAGAGAGGCCTCGAGCCAGGGTGTGCGCTGGGACCTCTCCTGGGACTGGAACCCCCAACCAAGGCAGTCTCCTCTGAGCACTCTCGTCTCACGACCATCCCCGCTCCCACCCCGTGTCTCACCTCGTCTCGGATCATGAACTCGATTGCTGCAACAATCTTGTCGAGTGTGAGTGAGCCGATGGGGATGGGCTCTGGACCCACCCCCGCTGCATGCACGCGCGCCCCCCAGAAGGGCTGGTCGCCAAAAAACGGGATGACGGTGGTGGGGCACTGCGGGAGGAAGGGGGGACGGGTCAGGGGGGAGTGGGGGGGATATAGGAAGGGGAAGGGATGGGGACCCACCCCCGCTGCATGCACGTGCGCGCCCCAGAAGGGCTGGTCGCCAAAAAACGGGATGACGGTGGTGGGGCACTGCAGGAGGAAGGGGGGACGGGTCAGGGGGGAGTGGGGGGGATATAGGAAGGGGAAGGGATGGGGACCCACCCCCGCTGCATGCACGTGCGCGCCCCAGAAGGGCTGGTCGCCAAAAAACGGGATGACGGTGGTGGGGCACTGCAGGAGGAAGGGGGGACGGGTCAGGTGGAAACATAGGGAGCGAAAGGGATGGGCTCTGGTCCCACCCCCGCTGCATGCACGCGCGCCCCCCAGAAGGGCTGATCGCCGAAAAACGGGATGACGGTGGTGGCACTGCGGGGAGGGGTGGAGGCAGGGAAGGGGCGGTGGGGAAGGGCGGGGAGGAAGCAGGGAGGAAGGATAGGGATCCATCTCCTGCTGCATGCACGCGCGCCCCCCAGAAGGGCTGATCGCCAAAGAAGGGGATGACGGTGGTGGGGCACTGCAGGAGGAAGGGAGAGCGGGGATGGAGGGAAAGGGATGGGGACCCACCTCCGCTGCATTGGAGGGGCGGGCAGCAGTGGTGCCCGCCCCCTCGTGGTGCAGCACAGCCTGTGGTTGCAGACTGACACTCACACCACGCACCCTGTAGCAAGAAAGACACGCCACTCTCCCCCCTCGTTGTCCCACTCACCCCCGATTTGCCCCACTCATCCCGTCTTGCCCCACTCACCGCGGCCTTGAGCCCGGCAGCAGTGGTGCCCGCGCCGCCATGATGTATCACCGCTCTGCAGCGCGGGAAGAGCCAGTCGTGCGGGCAGTTGCCAATCACCAGCAAGTTCTCGTTGGGTGTTTCCACTGGTGGAGTGGGGGTAAGGTAGGCGAAGGGAAGGTACAGAGGAAGGGTATGAGTGATGGAACAAATCGTGGAAGGGTATGGGTGTTTCCACTGGTGGAGTGGGGGTAAAACAAATCGTGTGAGCAGGGCTTTAAGATGCGAGCAGAAACATGTAGCCTGCGCATGAATGAGAATGCAGTAGCTCTTAAGCCCACTGGGAGCAGTAACTCCCTGCTTCTATGGCACTCACCTACTCACTCCATCCATCTACACCACTCACTTCACCCCATCCATCCATCCATCCCACGGCACTCACTCTTGCCCAGCCCCCCCCAGCCCTCCTGCAGTATCCCCCGCTGCCCCGTGCGCTGCAGTGCCTCCACAAACTTCTGAGTCAGACCCTTGGGGTCTGATACCGGCTGCAAGGGTGGGGGATGAGGGAAGAGAAAGGAGGGAAGGAGGGGACGGGGGGATTGAAGAGGGGGCGAGGCATCACCCACTGCTGCCCCGTGCGCTCTAGTGCCTCCACAAACTTCTGAGTCAGACCCTTGGGGTCTGATACCGGCTGCAGGGGGGGAGGAGGAGGGAGAGGGGGAGGTAGGGTGAGGAGGAGGAGGTACGCCACATGAGCACAAATGAGTGATTGGGCAAAGTCCATGGCTTGTGAAGAGGGAAAGAGAACAACAACGCATCACACAGCCATGGTGTGAGAATGACCTACAGACAAGGGGCGGTGAGTGACGCACCAGGCTGCCAAAGCCAATGAAGACGGGGGCCGGGCCAGAGTCAAGCCATTGCTGGATGTGCGCTGGGGCCGAGTAGTGGTCTGCCAGGTTCAGGAAACAGAAGCCTACCACGTCTATCAGGTTTCCCCAGTCTGATGGTTGGCAAAGGGGTGTGCAAGGGGTGGGCGAGAAGCAGGTTCAGAAAACAGAAGCCTACCACGTCTATCAGGTTTCCCCAGTCTGATGGTTGGCAAAGGGGTGTGCAAGGGGTGGGCGAGAAGCAGGTTCAGAAAACAGAAGCCTACCACGTCTATCAGGTTTCCCCAGTCTGGGTTGCAGAGGGAGACTGCAGGGGAGGACAAAAGGAAGGTGACTATACGGAGGACGGGGAAGGCAGCATGGTAGGTGGGTGTGAAGGAAGAACAAGAGCTGACAGCGAAGACAGACAGGCAGGGACTAGGGAGGTGGCTCACCATGAGGTTTGGGGGCGAGTGTGGGGCTCCAGATGCAGGTGAAGGGGATGCGCATCTTGGGGCGACCCGTGGGGATTTGGGACATTTTAGACATTCAAAAGTGTCTCAGGCGAGCATGGGACTGACCGTGGGGTTTGGGGGCGAGCATGGGACTCACCGTGGGGTTTGGGGGCGAGCGTGGGGCTCCAGATGTAGCCGAAGGGGATGCGCATCTTGGGGCGGTTGCGCAGAGGGATGGGCGGCAGCTTGAGCTTCTTGCGGAAACTGTTGATGAAGTCCCTCACGCCCAGCCACATTAGCCCCTCCACCACCACGTATGACAGCTGTGGGTGGGAACGTGAAGACACATGGGTGAGGGGAGGGAGGAAAGGGATGAGGGGAGGCCGGTTGATGAAGTCCCGCACGCCCAGCCACATGAGCCCCTCCACCACCACGTATGAGAGCTGCGGGGGGCCATGCGGCCATGGGGGGCCATAGAGCGGGGTGGTTGGTTGAAGGATGATGGCTGAGTAGTTGATAGATAGAGCTGAGAAGTTGAGACGTTGGACAAAACAGAAGTTTCTCAAAGCCACGTTTGACCTGTTTTTTACATTAATAACCGCACTTACTGCAAGGTTGCCCAGCAAGCATACCTGGTTCTCATAGCCTGTGTAGGCGGGCATTTCGCCAGCCAGGGGATGAGGGTACTCTGTCGTCATGCTGCCAGTACAGTCAGGGAACAAGGGGTGGGGAACGGAATGGCATGACGGGTGTGTGGGTGGATGCTTGAGAATAATGGTGTGTCTGTGCATGCGGGGGGGCCCTTGGGAGGAAAGATGAGGGATGGCTGAAGGGTGGCGCATGGTATGAGCAGTGCATACCTCCATGGCATGGTGAAGAACATGTGCAGGGGCACTTGCAGCGCTTCTGCCACTGTGGTGTGACCTGTATACATGGGCGCACGGGCCGGAATGGAGGCGCATGGAGGCGCATGGGGGCACATGGGGGTATGGGCGCATCGGGGTATGGGGGCATGGGGGCACATGGGGACACATGAGGCGCATGGGGCGAATGGGGGGGTATGGGGGCGAATGGGGGGGCATGGGGGAGCATGGGGGGGCATTGGGGCGCATGCGGGCGCATGGGGGAGCATGTGGGCGCATGTGGGCGCATGTGGGCGCATGTGGGCGCATGTGGGAGTATGAGGGGCACGGGGGTGCATAAAGTTGTGTGGGCATGCATGGGCGTATCCATAGCTTGCAGTCATCCCCTTCACCCCTTTGTCCCCCCACCCCATACATATGCTCGAGCACTTGGCTTGCCCCGCACGCGCACAAGCAATGAAGGTAGGAGGGCACACACATACCATACACAGGAGGGTTGGCAATGATGGCATCGGCGCGGAAGGGGGCGCCGTTGCTGGCGAGGTCGGGCTGGGTGCAGGCGGGCCAGGTGGAGAAGATGATTGACTTGAGCTGCTTGCGCTGCTGCAGCACCTCCGCCCGGCTCGAAGGCAGGAAGCCCTTGTTCTTCACCATGTCTGCGTTTAAAAAGGGGGAAGGGGGGGGTGGGAGGGGAGGTGGGGTCGGGCTGGGCGCAGGCGGGCCAGGTGGAGAAGATGATTGACTTGAGCTGCTTGCACTGCTGCAGCACCTCCGCCCTGCTCAAAGGCAGGAAGCCCTTGTTCTTCACCATGTCTGCCCAGGGGGAGGGAGGGAGGGGGGGAAGGAAAACGAACAGGGTGCGTTGTCCACCCACTTCCCCCCCTTGTGCGCACACTTCCTCTGCTCTCCGCGTTCACATTACCCTTCGCCGCACTCACAATTCTCCCTCTTTCCCCCGTAACCGCACTCACACTCCGCGAACACCTTGGGATTGCCGCTCGGGGGGTAGAACTCGAGTAGTGACGGCAGTGGAAGGAAGGGTGTGTATTAAAAGGCTTCCTCCTTTTGCACTAACAGTCCTCCATCCTTGTACTCGCATTTTTTTCCTTCCCCACACTCACATTCCCCCTCCCCCCCCTCTCCGCCCACTCACATTCAGCGAGCACCTTGGGATCGCCGCCCAGGGGGTAGAACTCGAGCCCGCCCGCGATGACAAAGTCACGGTAGTTGCTGTGCGACGCCAGCCGCACTCGGTGCCCGTAGCTCTGCCGTGGGGAGGGGGGGCGGGGAGGGGGAGCGGGGAGAGGGGGGGGAGATCATAATTGCCCGCGAGGTGCGTCATGATTTGATCTCGAGCCCGCCCGCGATGACAAAGTCGCGGTAGTTGCTATGCGACGCCAGCCGCACGCGGTGCCCGTAGCTCTGCCAGGGGGGTGCGCGCGGATGGCATGGGGGGAGCAGCGCGGACGGCATGGGTGGGGTGAGCGCGGATGGCATGGGGGGAGTACACGCGGATGGCATGGGACGTTTCTTGAGGCACCAAGTACATGAATTCGAGCCCGCTCGTGAGGGGAGGGAAGGAGGGGATGAAAGGCATTTGCTTGAATCTCAGAGACAAAATCACTCATTATCTCGGCCACTCCCTCCCCCGTCACCCATAATTTCCCCCCACTCCGTCGCGAACCTTCCTCCCAACTACCATTCTTCCTAACACTTTCCCCATCCTCTTCACCCAACCCCCTCCGCTCCCTTTCGCCCCGCGCGCCGCACCTTCAGCTTCTGACCAATGGCGATGAACGGTTGCACGTCCCCGCGGGTCCCCACGATCAGTATGCAGATGTTCAGCTTCCCCACGCTCTCCGCCGCGCGCGGCGCAATAATCTCGCCCTCGCGCCCCGCCTGGTCCTGCGGCTGCGCGAACATGTGCAGAAACTCCTCCTGGAGTTCCCGAGGGAAGTTATCCGTGTGAATCTGCACTTTGTAATCCTCGCCCACTAGCGTGTTCCGCTTCAGCTCGTTGTAAAATCTCGACGCCACGGCCGCGCGTTGCCGGGCCGTCAGATACGCGGACCGCCGCGTGTACGGCGACTTGGTACGTGGCAGATCTGTGGCCGCTCGTCTCATATTAGACGCGCCGTCTCTCATTTCCCCACCGTCCGACCCTTTCTCCCCGTCCAGGTTTTCGTGTCCGCTGCCATGAATCATGCTGTCGCTAACCCTAGAAGACGTGCCGTCGTCGTCATCGATATGGGACTGTTTCGCCATAATGGGTAAGGAGTACACTCTAACGGTATCTGTGAAAGATGTCGTCGGATCGGATGGGTTGTTCTGCCGAGGGCCTTGCTCCCAGCCGGTCAAACAGCGCTCTGCGGTCGCGGGGTGATCCATGCCCGCGTGCGGTTGCGCTTGAAAGTGCGGGGGGACAGCTACCTCTCCTTTGTTAGCGCGACTCGCTTCGTTAGAAGAAGGATCTTGAATTACGATCCGAGGCTCTGAAGGATGATTACTGGCATCGGTCGCGGGAACAGCATCATCCGCCGACGCTGCAGCTCTGGTAGGGGCGTCGTTAGTGGACGACGGTGGTCCTGGAATGCCCGCGGCGCTTTCCCGGTCAGTGACGGAAGGCTGAGTCATCTTGAGCCAGAGACTGGAATTGTGTCAGAAACGACTTTTTGCGACGCGAACAAACGTCGCCTTGTAATCTGCGGCGTCGCAAGTATTGAAATCTTACTGAGATCGATCTCTTCACGGGAAATTACACCAATAATTTTGACTAGTTGTAGCGGACTTCACATATGACGAGAAAGGGCCTCGTCAGAGAACCAACGAAGGAAGCATCGACGCAACGAAACGTCAACGTGCGCCTTGCCTCCTTTGCCGGAACCAACCAGCAACGCCGTTTCTTGATTTAGGTGGTGCCAGTGTGGCACTGTGGCATCGGGCTAGGCCTGGTTCGCGTCGACGCTCTGCGTAATTGTGGAACCAGGAGTTCCTGCCGTAATCTCGCAGGCACCTTGCGACATCAAAAATCGAGGAGCACGGCCACGGCATGGCAGGGCAGGGCATCTCTGGCACCAGTGCTCATCCCAGGGCAGGGTTCATCCCAGCCACACAGGCGCTGTTCCTTTGACATACCGCGGAATCATGGGCCAAACCACTGCTTTGGTTCGGTTCGGAGGCTCCTTGAGGTTTGTCGCCCGAAACTTCAGGTCGTCGGTGGTTGGCTGCACCGTGAAATATCCCGGTTACATCGATGGTAACATTGATTTTGCCGACTTCATGAACCTGTGGCAAGGGTTGATGGATGGCGTGGTGTGGCGTGGCGAGCTGGGCTGCCTGGCACCCACCATCCGTGGGCAAGCCAACACATCCCACAGCCCACACTGGAGGAATTCGCGCAGGTGCAGAGCTTTGTGACGGCTTTTCACTTTGTACGTTCATGTTAGAGATTATTTACAGCCTTCTGTTGTCCTTTCACTTCCCTAAAGATAAATCCTGTGTTTTATGGCCAGACATTGGGCCATCTCACATGAGGAAATCCATGCCTCAGCTGTCTTGTTCTTGCATTCAGGATCACTATTATTTTCAATTCAGGATCCATAATCCCCGTGGATATCGGTCTTTCAGACAATTACATAATTTATTTAGCCCAAAAGGGCTTGTGGGTTTCCTGTCCTTATCAGCCAGCCATAGCCCGATTGCGTAATGAACCAGCTACATTACAATACACATCTTTGTACCACCGTGCAGGTCACGCCGAACCAACATGTTACAAAACAACAACCTGAGCCCACCGTGTATCATACAGGAAGTATTACATTATGGCATGAGGGATCCGAGTGTCTCCACCACCTGCGCATGAAACCAAACAACAAATACGGTAGGTCCTTACGACTCTGAATTAAAACAACACAATCGGTGCAATAACACACAAAGCTTGAATTTGGTATACGCCTTAGAATATTTGTTGCCTCTCACCTGTTCCATAGTGGGTCTCTTGGACGGATTCGACTGAGTGCAGCGAAGAGCTAGCTCTGCCAACCCCTCCACCTGGGAAAGGGGGTGCAGGCGGGGTGGGATGGGAACAACAAACTCCATACAAACTGTTTGCATGCTTTCCCTTGCAAACTTGACGATGTGCGCTGGTGATGAAGCAATAGCAGAGACTCCTAAAGGCATCAGTGCCTCTAACAGGACTTCAGGCAGCAGGCAGCAGGCCGCAGGCAGCAGGAAGCTGGCAGCAGCGCACCTCATGAGGGTCGAACTCGTCTGCAAGCCGCGGGTCCACCAGTGCTGTCAGGTTGTCCCGCCCCACCCACAGCTTCTGCCGCGCCTGCCATCGCAAGCCATGGGGTACAGGGGCGGGGAGGGGGGGTTAGAGGAGCGAGTGGGTAGAGCAGGGGGTCGAGCGAGCAGGGCAGAGGGAAGGAGATGAGGGGCACAGGGGAGGGAAAGGGATGGGGCAGAGGGGCATGAGGCAGAGAAGAGGAAGGGGCAGGGGAAGGGCAGAGCGGGGGGGAGGCATGCAGGGAAAAGGGCGTGCGATGAGAGGCACGCAGACACTTACCCATTCTACGAGTGAGGCTGGCATGCGGCGTGGGTCGTGTGGGTGCTGCCCTGACATGATTTCAAACACCACCACTCGACAAGGGAAGCACATGTGAGGGGCAGGGCACACGCGAGAGGCACACAGACGCTCACCCATTCAACGAGCGAGGCTGGCATGCGGCGTGGGTCGTGCGGGTGCTGCCCCGAGATGATCTCAAATACCACCACTCCGAATGCAAACACGTCTGCTGCCTCCATGCTCCCCCGCCCCTTGCCCGCTGTAGCAGGGCTGGCTGTAGCGGCGGCAGTGGGGGAGGAGGCGGCGAAGGGGCTGCGGGGCTTGGGGGAGGTGGAGGGGAGGAGCTCTGGGGCAGCGTACCTGATGGGGGGTGGATGTGGGGGGGAAGATAGGGGAAGAGGAGAAGAAGAAAATTGGCAAGAGGGGAGAGGCGTTGGGTGGGTGATTGACCAAGATGGGTAGGTGCGGAGGATTTAAAGTTGCCGCTTGCGTAGCGCAGTCCATATTAAGTAGCGTTTGTGAAATGTGGGTTAGCCCAACCATTTTCTGTTGGGGCTCTCGCCAATTCTGAAAGGCAAGTGCCTGCCTGCAACTGATTCCAGTTTTCCTCTCTATCAGAGGAGGGTGAAGCATGTGGGTGGCGAGGCACACTCACGCATCAAGGTATATGTCTTCTGCCGACCGCTCTTCTGTGCTCCCACTCCCACTCTTCCCACCACCACCAGCACCACCACCAGCACCACCACCAGCACCAGCACCACCACCAGCACCACCACCAGCACCACCACCAGCACCACCACCAGCACCACCACCAGCACCACCACCAGCACCACCACCAGCACCACCACCAGCACCACCACCAGCACCACCACCAGCACCACCACCAGCACCACCACCAGCACCACCACCAGCACCACCACCAGCACCACCACCAGCACCACCACCAGCACCAGCAGCAGCACCAGCAGCGGCAGCGGCGGCGCATGCAGGGGCGTGCGGTGTGAAGTGCGGCATGCCGAAGTCGGAGAGCTTGGGCGAAACGTGGCGGTCCATGAGGACCGCTCGCGAGCTCACACGGCCGTGCACCATGGGCGGGTGGCAGAAGGCGTGAAGATGCAGCAGGCCCTCTGCTACTCCCTCCACCACTCTCACTCGTACTTCCCAGGGCAGCACCGGCACTGCTTCATCTGCACAACGGAAGACAAGGGAAGAGAGTGAGTATATGTTACGACGCACTAATACTTCAGCAAAAGGCGAGTTAGCCATCACACATACAGACTCATAGTGGGAACGCATTGGACTCACCATCAGTGTGCAGGAGGTGCGAGAGCGAGGGGAAGGGGATGTAGTTGAAGACCAGTACGCAGTAGTCCGGCCCGATGCTGCACCCCAGCATCGTCGCCAGGTCCGGATGGTGCACCTTAGCAAGCGCCTTGGCGCCAGCCACAGACTGGTTGACCCAAGCCTCGCCGCCACTGCCCGTGTGCCGCACCACCATCACATCGCTGCCCGCACCCAGCGTGCCCTGATACACCTCCCCCAGGTAGCTCCTCCGCATCCACCGCTTCTTGCTGAATCTCTTGGTCGCCTCCACCAAGTCGTAGTACGAGAACTGGGACTCGTACAGCGGTGCGACTTCTAACCGCGAGTCTTCCGCGTATTCGTCCTCGCCTATATCCACTATCGAGACAGGCTTTCCGGGGATGGCGCCGATAGAGGCAGAGATAGGCATGGCGCCAGAAGCAGCAGAGAGCGCGGAAAGAGTCGACGAAGGGGCTGAGGAGGGGGAGCGGGAGATGGAGAGAGCTGAGGAGAGGAGAGACGGGGCCAAGTCGGCACGGATCTCGTTCAGGAAGCGCAGCACGGAGGCGGAATCGGGGCGCTTGCGCGTGTGCCGCGCCACGCACAGCACCGCCACGCCTGCGAACCGCTTGATCGCGGCCTCGGGAACTCCGTGGTCCATCCGAGGGTCCAGAACCGCCGAGACATCCGACGCGTTGATATGCCGCACCGCCCACTGGATATTAATATACGATTTACGCGAGGCCTTTTTGGAGTCATGGGATTCAGCGAGCTGCCCTGTGAGCAGCTCTAGCAGCACGACCCCGAAGGAATAGACGTCGGTGGCGGCGGTGGCGCGCAGAGAGTGGAAGTAGTCCGGGTCCAGGTACCCTGCGCTGTTGCGCACTCGCTTTGCCGTTGGGGCGGAGGGGAGGCCCTTGATTAGGCCTACACTCGTTAGCATGGCCTGGCGGTGGGGTGCATTGGGGTGGAAAGAAGTGAGGGGAGAAAGCGTGTGAGGAAAGTGCGGGGATACCCCATATTGTTGGCATTGGCCAAGTCATTGGGGAGGAAAGGAGGCAGACCACGCCAGGAAGAAGCAGTAGCACCCGACAGCCAAGCAGAGCACGAATACGGCACAATGGCACCCAAGCATGGAGCATGCAGCCCCACTCACCGCGGGCGGTCCCGGCAGCAGCAGCACGTTGCTGGAGCACACTTCTCGGTGCAGCAGCTGCGGCTGACAGTCGAGGTGCAAGTACCTCAGCGCGTCCCCCACGGCGATCGCCACGACCAGGCGAGCAAAGACTACAGAACCCAACGAATGTTCTTGGAGCAGCAAGATTATGGCACTCACCGCAGGGGACCCTGGCAACAGCAGTACATTGCTCGAGCAGACCTCCCGATGTAACAACTGCGGCTGGCAGTCGCGGTGCATGTACGCTAATGCCTCCGCCACAGCAATCGCCACGTCCAGGCGCTCCAGAAACGTCAGCGCGCGCCCGCCGCCGTCGTCATCCCCCATCCCGCGCTCCTCGCGCTGCAGGCGCAGGCGCTCCGCGAGAGTGACGCCCTGCCGCATGCCGTAGACCAACAGCCGCTCCCGCCGGTCGTCACACCACCCGAGCAGCTGCGAAATGGCCGGGTGGGACACGTCGTTTAGACGATCCACCTGGAGGAATGCGGAGCGGAGGATGGAGGATGGGGGATGGGGGGATGGGGAAAATGGGTGACGCCCTGCCGCATGCCGTAGACCAGCAGGCGCTCGCGCCGGTCGTCGCACCACCCCAGCAGCTGCGAAATGGCCGGGTGGGACACGTCGTTTAGACGATCCACCTGGGGGGATGGGAGATGGGGAGGTGGGGGATGGGAGATGGGGAGGTGGGGGATGGGAGCGTGACGTCTTGCGCATGGCGTAGACGACCAGCGCTCCCGCCGGTCGTCGCACCACCCCCGCAGCTGCGCGATCGTCGGATGGGACACGTCGCTCAGACGCTTCACATGGGGTATTGCGGGATTGCGGAATTGGACAGGAACGGGGAGATGGCCGGGTGCGACACGTCAGAAGCCCCACCCTACCCCGCCCAGGAACGTTGCACCGCTCAGCCTCCCGCCCCCCTCCCGCCCCCGTCCCGCCCCCGTCCCGCCCCCCTCCCACTTCAGGCCCGCCACGCGCACTTTCCCCCCGGCTTTCTCCACCCACTCTCCAGCTTCCGCCCCCCCTCCTCGCGCGCCTCATTTTTCCCCACCCTCCCCGCGCGCGCACCTCTCGGCGGAACGCGCGGCCGTTCTCGGCGGAGGACGTTCCGCGCACGACGAGCCAGTCCTCCCCCTTGGGCCCCACGCACGCGTACGCCTCGCCGAAATCCCCCGCGCCCACCTGCGCGCGCCAGAGTCACCACGCGGAGAGAGGGGAAAGGGGAGAGAGGGGGGAGGATAGGCGAGGGGAGTGTTAGCGCGGAGAATGATCAAGGTGAGCACGACAGAACGCCTCAAATGGCTGGTATTACGAAAGGCGGACGCATCTTGAGCGACCAACGATATTTGAGTGACGGACGCACCTTGAGCGACGCGTTGAAATCCGACGTGGCTTGCAGCACCGGCAGGAGCGCGAGCTTCTGCGCCTTGTGCTTCTCCGCGCATGGCGGCTTCCGCGGAGCGCAGAGGCTCCACAAGATGATCCCCGCGATGAGCGCGAGGCACGCCGCCGCCGCCACGAGCGCCGCGAGCACCGGCACGCTCGCGAGCGGACTGCTGCCTCCGCTGCTGCCTGGGATCGGGGGAAGGGTCGGCGCATCCAGCGGGGGTGCGGAGAAGCGAAGAGGTGCGGAAGCGGAGTGGGGGAGAAGCAGAGAAGAGAGAGAGGGAAATTAGGAAGGAAGATGCGAGTGCTGGAGCGAAGGGCGACGCACGTCTGGATGATGCGGCGCGGCGCCTCCACCGGACGGTTGCAACGGTTACACGGTGATGGGTTGATACCGGTGAAGCTGATGCGTACCTAGGAATCGTCGCGGTTCGAGTTGACTAAAAAAAAAAAAACCGAGGCGTACCTAGGAAACGTCGCGGTATACTGGCCGTGGCATGTAGTAGCGAACCATATGCACCCGCGCCCGCTAGTGCGTCACCTGCCGCATCGCCTGCGAGAAAACACGGTTCGGAATCGGAACAGAGTGATGACGAACAGGAAAGATGACGGGACGGACGGGAAGTAAGAGGGAAGATAGTTCTGGTGAGTCTTGTCCGTTTGACGCTTGATGCGCCGCTGGTTGCGGGCGTGACACGAAGGCTCCTAACGAATCACTCCGATCGCCGACGAATCAGCTCGTAAATGTGCGTGTGACACAAAGGCTCTTCCCTGACGCGTAGGCGCCAGTCGTACGCTTTCGCGTTTTGAAGGAACGGTTGCTGCACGGCGTTCGGAAACTCTTGGGTTGTTGTTCTAGCGCAGAAGACTTAAGACTCGCGTAGTAACAGTGTATTATCTCGGGACTAGCTTTTGAGACCTTGACCAACGCGATCCCGCGACGCGGCCGTCTTGTCAACGCCGTGCTACATTGGGTAGTCTTCTGTCTGACAATCCACTCAAGGCGGCGCCGTCTTACAAAGCAGAATATACTCAATGCTACCGATCCGTGCTCGGAATTCGTCCCGCTAACGGAGTTCGCGGTCATTTTGAACGGAGCAGCATTCAAGAGCCGTCAATTACAACGTCGATAAAGAGGTCAGTCGCTTTGCACTTCTAAAATATCTAACGAAGTTTTCCGAAATCCTACGAACGAGCAGTCAGGAAGAGCCATTCACTGCTTAGAACCGTACCGCTGTGGGCTGCGGTGAGAAGCAAAGCTTGCGACGCGACGAGGCTGACGAAAACAGGGAGAACGATCGAGGAGATTAATCGACGGCTGACGGCCATTCTCGCCCGTGGAACCCTCATCTGACTGCTGCTGTCATTCACCGACGGCCCCCACCGCCACGAAACCCTAAGAAGCACCCACTCTATCGATTACAGTGGGCGTATCAGAAGCAGCTTCATGAATTGATTCGTCAGATGAGACCTGAGAGGACTGCTGGCTTGAGTGATTCATGAATGCAAAGCAGACAGCACGGAAGAGCGATTTGGGAAAGAGGAACGGCTTGTGATGGGCAAGAATGAAGTTCCAGGCCAGGCAGAGATGGATGGATGGCAGGCTCAGGTAGACGACATGAAGAAAAACCTGCGGGGATCGCAAAAAATGGCGCAATTCCGTCAGTCAGGGGGATTCGGAAACTGTGAGGGGCGGACCCTGACAGCAACTAGCGGCGATAGAGTGATCATCTTCCACCTTGGGGTGTGCGATTCTTAACGACGGGATTGCTGGTCGTTAGTTGGTATCATGTTGTTGTGGATAACCGATAAGGGTGTTTTCGGGAACGTCTTCGCCCGTGACGAAACTTGTTGATTAGATTGAGCGAGCCGTGTGCGACGACGTGTCAGCGTTCTGGCACTCGGCCACTCGCCGCCAAGCCTCTTGACTTGGTTTGGAAGGACTGAAGGGGGGGTTCAGGGTCTCTGCTCTTGTTTGATTGACCATTTCTCCCAGCCACCAAAGATTTCCACTTCCCCATCTGGCGCCACGCATTTCGGTCAATAAGCTTGTCTCTTGTTTTGTGCCCGATCGAAGCGCAGGTGACACATCAACGAATTACCGCGACTGCCGAACATTTCTGTGCCTCCCTGTTACAGGATGGCGGGACGCATTACAGCATGTCCAGCCTCATGATCTAAGCATATTTTCCCACCCAAATATCAGGCATCAAATACAAAACAATTTAGCAGTTGCAAACGGCAAATGACTTAAGGACAGTGCTATATGCAGGAGCATGAACATGGTATAAAACAAGGGTATAGCCGCTTTAAGCGCCTTCTTGTAACTGGGAAATCAATCCCGGTGGTCAGCCTGCTCATATGCTCAGTCCTGTTTGCATACCCCCACTTGGTGGCTCCAATGCACAGCCCAGTTCTAGCTTTGTGCACCATCCCTGCAGTAAGCATGCCCTGATGCATAAGCGATGTCATTACCGTATTTAACCTTAACGTTCAAGCCCTGGGCGCAGGCTTAATCCCTGTAGTTAGTGTGCTCACATGCATAAACCTGTGGTCAGTGTGCCCTGATGCACAGACCCTGTGGTTATATTCCCAGCACACATTTGTGTGCTCGGTGCACAAGTGACGGGATTAGCCCTGTGGTAAGCCCTGTGGTTAGCCCTGTGGCTATCCCTGTGGTTAGCTCTGCCATCATCCCTGCGGTTATCCCTGTGGTTAGCCCTGTAATCATCCCTGTGGTTTGGTTAGCCAATGATCCCTGTGGTTAGCCCTGTGGTTATTCCTGTGCGTATATTTGTGGTTAGCCCTGTGATTATTCCTGTGTTAGCCCTGTGGTTATCCCTGTGCTTATCCTTGTGGTTAGCCCTGTGGTTAGCCCTGTGGTTAGCCCTGTGGTTAGCCCTGTGGTTAGCCCTGTGGTTAGCCCTGTGGTTAGCCCTGTGGTTAGCCCTGTGGTTAGCCCTGTGGTTAGCCCTGTGGTTAGCCCTGTGGTTAGCCCTGTGGTTAGCCCTGTGGTTAGCCCTGTGGTTAGCCCTGTGGTTAGGGCCTACGCAGGAGGTTGCTGAGGTGGGTGTGACCCAAGGGGAGGCGAGTCGCACAAGGGGAGGTGGGTTGCAGCGGGAGGTGGGTTGCAGGGGGAGGTGGGTTGCAGGGGGAGGCGGGAGGTGGATTGCAGGGGGAGGAACGTGGGGAGGCAATTTGGGGGGAGGGGCGGGACAGGGGAAGCAGGGTGTGGAGGGAGTCCTATGCAGGGGGAGGGGAGGGAGCAGAGAAGGGGGGAATCATTAGGGAAGGGGGGGAGAGTGGGCGGTGGGGGGGTTGGGGGTTGAGGGGGAGAGGGGGGATACCATACCTGAGAGTGTTACCAGCCAAGGTCACCTATCTTATCCTATCTGCTTCAGCTCTACCAAACGGACCGGCTTTGGTTGTCCTGCAAGCAGACGAGAGGAGGAGGTAATGCAGACAAGAGTTGAGCTTCTCTGCAAGTGTAATCAGAAAAAGCGAGAGTGTAAGGAGCATCACAGTGCATTGAGGAGATGGGAGTAAGGAGGAGATGAGGAACCTACCACGGAATGAGGGCTCAGATGATCCGCCCTTGCTTATTGTCCCTTGCTGATACCGCTGCTGCTGCCATGCCCGTGCTGTGCACGACAGTAGGATGAAAGGCAGGATAGGAGGTTAAGAGGATAAGAGAGAGCGGAGCAGCGATGATGTTCAAGAGGGAAAGAGAGAGGGATTATCTGAGACAGTGGTAAAACTAAGGCCAAGAAATGCAGGAGTGGCAACAGCCAAGAAGCTAAGCCCAAGAGACTGGGAAAATACGATTAAATTAAGGGAAGGCGGATGACAGAACAACAGGAAAACACAGATCTTACCATGCGTGCTGCTACAACCAATTGTCCTCCTCTACCCCCTCTCCTCCACCTCAGTACCCTCTTTTCCTCTGCGTGCATCGTCCCCTGCACCCCCCTCCTCTGCACCCTCTCCTCCACTGCAGCCTCTCCTCCCCTGCACCCTCTCCCAAAAGCTACGACAAGTAGCAGCAGCACCGCCCGCGCACCATCAACAGCAGCACCCACCCGCGCCATCGCACCAAACTTATTGGATTTCTGCTGCTGAGATGGGATGGACAGATATAGGTGAGGCACCGAGATAGGTGAAAGAGGCAGGAAGAGTAAGCGAGCCAGCAAACGCAGGGCAGAATGCGAGAGCAAGAGCTTTGGAGCATATCCTGATAAATGCAGATATCGGAACGAGTATGCAAACCAGTGGTTGGATGGGCCACTGCCATTTTAAGGTGACCGGTCGCTGCGGTCAGCAGCGCACGCAGTGAGTGCCGGCCATTAGTCATCCCACTGCCGCCCGTCCATGCGCCTCCTCCCTCTGCTGCCTCTCCTTGGAACAGCAAGGCCCGTGCAGCAATGGAGCCACCACGCCCTCTGCACCGCATGAGCCGTGCTGCTGCATCCACTGCTCTGCTGCTCTACCTCCGGCACTCCATTCGCCCTGAGACCAGAGGACGCATGGGGGAGAAGGAGATGCAAGGAGATTGGACTCGAACAGAGGGCAGGCAACGAACTCGGAATAAATGAAGCAGCAAGCTTAACGTGGATCCGCAGGTGTATTACAGCGAGAATCGAGAGGTGGGCGGGGGAACGGGGAAGGCGCATGGTGACAGTGGCCCACGGCACTAGAGCAGCGAGCTGAGCCAGCGAGGGGGGACTGGGGGACGCACGCATGGAATGAATGCACTCCCTCTCCACTACTCTATCCCACCACTCCCACTACACTGCACTCTACATGAGCTCTGCTGCCATAGCACCACGGACCACCATTACCATGCGCCAGAAGTTGGATGCATCATGAAATTTGTCAAAGCGTGAAAGAGACGGATTGGGAGCACTGGAAAATGGGGGCCCAGGAAACTTAGCTAAGGAGAAGCGTAGAGGCTGAAATTGACTCGCCCCATTCATGCCATGCGCGCGCTCCTCTCTACCCCAGTCCCCATGAAGCTGCAGCTGGTGAGCTGTAGCTGCAGGTGGTGAGGTGTAATATCATGCCATGCCATGTACCAGAGCAAGCCAGACACAGTGAGTGCAGCTCAAAGAGCCACCAGGCAGAGAAGAGCAGACAGAACGCAGCAGACAGACCAGGCAGCAGCAGCAATAGAAAGAGCAAAGAGCCAAGAGAGGGTGAGTGCAGTGAAACGGAGGAGCAAAGGGGAAAGCGGGTGCAGTCAAAACGGAGGAGCGAATGAGAGAGTGGCTGCAGTGGAAGGGATGCATATCGTACCACAATGGCATGGCACAGGCGTGGGTATAGGGGACTTGTGTTGACTGCCATGCTGCTGCAGCCACTGCTGTGAGTGCCTGGCTTGCATCATCCCACTGCCGCCCCTCCATGGGCCTCCTCTCTCCACTGCCTCTCCTTGGAACAGCAAGGCCGGTGCAGCATATAGAGGCACCACGCCCCTGCAGCACAGGGAGCCACAGTCCATGCGCCCCTTGGAACTTAGCTAAGGAGAAAGCGTAGAGGCCATTAGTCATCCCACTGCCGCCCGTCCATGCGCCTCCTCCCTCTGCTGCCTCCCCTTGGAACAGCAAGGGCCCATGCCGCAATGGAGCCACCACGCCCTCTGCACCACAGGAGACCACACACAGTAAGTGCACCGCGAAAAGCAATCAGGTCGAGCAGCGGACAGAGCAGCTAGCAGCAATCGACAGAGGCAAAGGAGAGAGCGGACGAAACGAAATGGAGGAGTGAAAGATAGAACGGGTGGGATCACATGGTGGAGCGTGAAAGAGTGCGGGTGCAGGTAAAGGGATTCAGACCATACCACGATGAGGTCACGGGTGTGGGTGCTGAGGACTGGTGTTTACTGGCGTTGACTGATGTTGACTGAGGTTGAAAGGAGTCGTGCTGCTGCATCCACTGCTCTGCTGCTTTACCGCCGGCACTCCATTCTCCCTGAGACCAGAGGACGCATGGGGCAGAATGAGATGCATGCCAGGAGGCAATTACAAGAACGAACGAGTAACAGAACGAGTAACGGAAACAAAAGATGAAGATGAAACACATTTGGCACTGTGACACTGTGTAAGGTAAGGCGATGGTAGCACACAGCACTAGGGCGCCGAGCTAGCAGGCAAGGGGGACAAGGTAAGAAAGGGACGCGTGCATGAGTGTGAGTGCGTTCTAATCTATCCCCCTAGGACTCTAGTGTGAGCTCAAGCCTTCCTAGCGCCATGCGCTACCATCGCCAATCGCCGCTCACCTCTCACTCAACTTTTGATCGCTCCCATTCGAAAATGGGCTCATTTGTTTCGAGC